TACTGAGAGAAGCTAATTTTCAGTTGCATCGATGTGGGAGGTAAAGATAAGATAATTCAAAAGGAGACAAGGATAATTAAAACGATAAAGATTATTCAAATCGGAAACTGTGTACCTTAAAAAGTAAGAGGTAGCTGCCAAGTGTTCTCATACTGTTAAAAGGTCAGAGAACGTCAGAAACAAAATCTGGCATTTCCTAATTAGCCGCCCACCTCTCCCCCATTTAGAATCCTTAGCAAAGAGCGAGACTGTAGGTGGCCAATAGAAAAGTAACAAATATGTCACAGATCAGTCCACCTGTATCCTGCTGCTTCAGCATTCATCACATTGACAGCAGCAGTGTTAAAAGTTTGCAGTGTTACTGAATGGGAGATCCTAATTAGATAAAAATGCTGTTTTGACACTTTTGTAACATCACTTACAGACTCTGATCACTGTCTTGCAAATGACTGAGAACTGATCAGATTGAGGAGTGTTAAGATGGAATTAATATCTGTGCCCCAATCGCTCAATCAATTTAGTGCTTAGGATGTGGTTGGGGGAAGGAGGGAGGTTAGAGCTTTGTGGTCTTTCAGCATCAGTGATCACTCTGAACGGAGTCTGTGACCAATGCTGTTTCAGCACTTCAAGCGCTCTGACAACCCCCAGAAATCGGAGTATTCCATAAAGATAGAATCTTTGTAAAATATTTACATTGATTGGAATTTTTCTGAAATTCAAACACCATCAACAATATCATTAAAAAAATGTAGGGGCTATTTTGTCTTGCGTACGTTTCTTTCACTTAACAAAACATGAAGGAAAGGTGGAGATACCGCTGTCCAGTTTGATCAATTACCTTACCCGTCACTAGAGACAGCTGTGGGAAAAAGACATTGTCTTGCCGAGTGCGAGACAATATCTTTGGAGACTCTTGCGGGATCCCCTACAGACATCAGTTTTGTACTCACGCGCATGTGCCAGAGTACAGCACTGACATGGACCCTTGATTAATGTAGCGAGTGGAGTTCTAAATAAGATGGCGGCACCCGTGGGGGACAGCGTCAGGCAAGTATAACTCACCTCTCCTGCACTCGCAAGCCACCGCAAATCATGTGCAATGTCACCATCAGGGATCTTTGCAAAAGATGGCAGAGCCCCTTTAACAGATCTTTCCATTTCAGTGAGACAGCAGCTACATTGTTACAGTCTGGCTGAGACTTTTAATCTGTTGTGTGTGATTAACATTGTAGCCCTGAATGTAACACTCTAGCTGTTTCATACTATTGTCCTTTCCACCGAAAAGCCTCATTGCTACCAATTCACCAATTGTAGTGAAGTAATGTATAAAATACCTTGACATTACAGCCATAGTTTGCAAACGAACAATCTTGTTCAGCTTCGGGACACAGAGAGAGGTGATCTTCAAGCTGTAATTATTGACAACATCAAAAAAAAGTGTTAATTGCAAATTTTTGGGTAAAGGGCGGAGTCAGTTTAAAACAGATCGAAAGTCTAATTCAGTCTCTGGTATGAAAAAAAGCTAAAAATCGAATTCAGTTTTTAGCATAAACTAATCACATATTCTACTGAGAAAAATATGTAAAGCAAAGGTTACCTTATCCCTCGGACATGCCTGAAGGCAGTTGTTAGGACATGCAACTGGGTACATAGGGCAAAACTGTTTAACGTGAATCTGGGGGAGAAAAATAAATAAATAAAAATAAAATATGTTTGCAAGGAAAATAAGCCGATTATGCTTCCAGCACATTATAACTGCAGTAAAACATATTAACATCAGTTTTGTTTATAAAGCCGATATTTTCTGCAGAGCTGAGAAACTGTTACATGAAACATGCCGTTTAACCACAATAAAACTAGATACAGCTGTGCTACTTAAAGATCCAGGACACCCTGCTGCCAACTTGCCATCTAAGGAAAGTAGTCAAACCATTTTGAATGGTTACACACTTACCTGCTGGGTAACTAGAATCTAGCTTCCTATTCTGATATAGTCATAGCAGTATTGCATTTCCACATTAACATAGATATAATAAATTCTATGTATCTCTATTTACAGAGTGAGATGGCTCTTGAGATTACAATCTAAATGAGAAATGATGAGCAAAATAAAAAGTTGGACGAAGTTACAGAAAGTAAATGGATATATGTATTTCAACCGTGCTGTCTTCTAACAGCCAAAGCTACAACATATAGAGTTAGCAAGACATGCTGGCCGATACTGTTAATCAATACATACACCCCAGGAATATTACCGAACATGTCTAATATTACATTCAGAGGCGCTCAAAATTTATAAAATTAAAACTAGGCCTTCTCTAAACACTACACCCATACCGCCAAACAGCAGAGTAATTTGCAGAGATGCTTAGATATAGCGATATACACACTACTACCATTACTGTTACTGTATAGATAAATGCGCATTACTTGAATATTTAGCCACTGGTTCTTTTGGATCAAAACCCATGCTATGGTTTAAAAAAAGCTGTGTTTGTGTGTGTTTAAAACAGCGTCAGTCGCTAAGGGTACCTGCTGATATGCAGGGTTAAGTCTGAAACACAAGGTCTGTCTGTGCTCATTTGCATGTCAAGCTAGGAATTCTGGGATAGTTGTGGAAGCATGATTTCTCTGAGCTTCTTCCCAAAGTCCAACAGTAGTTTTTCTCTCTACACCACATTGTGGATATATACCATATTTATCGGCGTATAACACGCACTTTTTCTCCCTGAAAACAGGGGAGAAATTGTGGGTGCGTGTTATACGCCGGCCCTTTAAATACTGCAGCCGCCTGAGCGCTCTGTCAAGAGCGCTCAGGCAGCTGCAGTTGGTACTCACCTCCCCTGTAGCGTGGCCGAGCCGCTCTGCTGTCCGCGGTGGCCGGCCGGAGTGATAGGAAGGTGCACGCTCAGTGTGCACCTTCCTATCAGTCCGACCTGGTACAGGAAACAGAAACTCCTGTTCCGCGCGGAACAGGAGTTTCTGTTTCCTGTACCCAGTCGGACTGACAGGAAGGTGCACACTGAGCGTGCACCTTCCTATCACTCCGGCCGGCCACCGCGGACAGCAGAGCAGCTCGGCCACGCTACAGGGGAGGGGGTAAGAAGAGGGGGGGAGTAAGAAGAGGGGGAGTGGGGGAGTAAGAGTGAGGGGGAGGGGGGAGCAAGAGAAGGGGAGGGGGATTAAGAGACAGGAGGGGGGTAAGAAGGGGGAGGGGGGGTAAGAAGAGGAGAGGGGGGGCTAGCAACAGGGAGGGGGGGTAACAAGAGTGAGGGGGGTAAGAAGAGGGGGGGGAGTAAGAAAGGGGTAAGAGGGGGAGGGGGAAGTAAGAAGAAGGGGAGGGGGGAGTAAGAAAGGGGGGTAAGAAGAGGGTAAGAGGGGGAGGGGGAAGTAAGAAAGGGGGGTAAGAAGAGGGGGAGGCGGAGTAAGAAGGGGGTAAGAGGGGGAGGGGGGAGTAAGAAAGGGGGGTAAGAAGTTCTTTATTTGAAATTTAAAGGACCACTCTAGGCACCCAGACCACTTCAGCTTAATGAAGTGGTCTGGGTGCCAGGTCCCTCTAGGATTAACCCTTTTTTTTAATAAACATAGAAGTTTCAGATAAACTGCTATGTTTATACTGAGGGTTAATCCAGCCTCCAGAGCCTCTAGTGGCTGTCTCATTGACAGCCGCTAGAGGCGCTTGCGTGCTTCTCACTGTGAAAATCACAGTGAGAAGACGCCAGCGTCCATAGGAAAGCATTGCAAATGCTTTCCTATGAGACCGGCTGAATGCGGGCCAAGGCCTCGCCGCCGCGGTGTATTCAGCCGATGACGCCGCTGGCAAGGAGGAGAGGAGGGAGGAAGCCCTCGTCCGGGCGCTGAGAAAGGTAGTGTTTAACCCCTTCCTCTCTCCAGAGCCCGGGCGGAGGGGTCCTTTCGAGGGAGGAGACGTACTGAGGCGCATGATTATAGTGCCAGGAAAACATACTCGTTTTCCTGGCACTATAGTGGTCCTTTAAGTTTTTTTTCCCTGAAATTTCCTTCTTAAAATGAGGTGCGTGTTATACGCCGGTGCGTGTTATACGCCGATAAATACGGTATATATTTTTTTGTGTTTCTAACTGCTATCAGCAGTAAAATGCCCGGCATTGGTTACATTGATGTTTCACCTCTAATAACTAGAGTGACTTACAATGAAACCACAGATCTCCTTCATGGAAAGTTGCCTTTTTGTATGTGTAAGAACGTGAAGACATTTTTGCAATGATTATAATGTATCTGTTTGTATCTTGGTTTTACCTTCAGGTTCACAGATGCCATGCTTTGCTTGCAGTATGTGCACAGTTCCTCTCTTAATTTACATTGCGTGTCTAGATGGTCCTTTAAATCCCTTCGAGGCATTGTGTCATGGCATCCTACGTTGATGCATTGGATGGGCTCGTACATGCACTGGGCAAGATGATCCTGTGTATACAAAGTATAATAATATCCACTTATACTCACAGGTTCTGCTTTCTTCTTCTTTTAGGGAAACCATACACGCAAATATATACACATACTCACAAAATTACAGACAAGCAAATCACTACAATCATTCATTTCTAAAAAAAAAAAAAAAAATTCTGTATTGTATAGATAACAAAGACTAATAACCTCACTGAAAGTGGACCTCTCCCATAAAACCCCTTCTGCACCAAAGTGAAACTGGAATAATGAAAGATAAAGTATGAGTTGTAATATATTTTTAGGGGCTTTATATAGGATGAAACAAGATGTACAACTGATGTTATTACTATTAGCTGTGAGCTAGCTCTTTTCTTCCATATTTCATTTACTCCAACCAAGTTTTGGGGTTTGGTGAGGGTTTTAATGGACCTGCGTAGGCTGGATAGCTCCCTAGTCAAAATTCTATGAGATCATTATTTTATTATGGCCAGGCCCACAGAATCTGACCTTATAGCCTTACCAAACAAAATGAGTTATAATCATTTACTTAATCGGCAGAAAGCTCTTGTTCAGTCCTGTGGGACACATTAAACTAACTGTAAATATGTAGTAGAAACTGTTTTATGTATTGTATCAGAGAGGTTTCGTGAGTTTATCCACTTGAAAAATATGTCTGTGATGTGGAAAAAAACAAACTGTATTAATATTGTGAGAGAATCGTTCCTGTCCGCCCGCACCTCCCACACCTACCCTCTCTGTCAGCTTTCCGTAAGATGCAGGGCTCAATTTAAGATCGTGGTACTTGTTTACAAATTTCTACACAATGCTGCCCCAACCTACCTATCCTCATTAATACACAAATATGTCCCGTCTAGGCCCCTACGCTACTGCCGGAGACCTACGTCTAGCGTCTGTTCGTACTCCTACTTATAATGCTCGCCTTAAAGACTTCTCTAGGGCTGCACAATTCCTATGGAACGCCCTTCCCCTCTCTGTTAGACGTTCACCCAATCTCCACTCCTTTAAAAAATCTTTGAAAACTTACTTCTTGAAATCTTTGAAACCTTGCACCCCGATTCCTCTCCTGCAACTGTCACCAAAACACTAAGCCCTCAGTGAATACTATCCTAGAA